GGGCAGGTGAACTAAAAACCCTACATCAACTTTGGAGACTGCCAAGAAAACAACTCAGCAGGGAGGAATTTAGGATGGGGCTCAGACTTGGGAATTTGAGTTGACTTTGGACGAAGACTGGTCTTCCCAGATATCGTCCAAACAAAGCTACGCCCGGATATCCTGCTCACAGCAAGGGAAGAAGATGATTATGGTAGAGCTGACTGTTTCCTGGTAAGCACGATGCAAGGAGGATGTACATTGCATTGGGCAACAGGGGAAGAGACTGAAGGGCAGCCATACAACGACTCTCAACAACAGCAGAGAAGTCGTCTAGTTGGCTCTGGTGGAGGAAAGAGGACAAGAGCTGGATGCCATCCACCAACGGGCAGTGATTGGGCCAATCACTGTCGACTCGACACCTTAAGGGCGTTCCAGGATAGGTGTCGAAACGCCCTGTGAGAGGTGGTCCTGGCTGATGACGTTGGTGGAGATTTCAATCATTCGATTGCATTAAGGTATTTTGTTATGCAAACATTTCGCTGGACAAATGACATCCCCGTTTTTTTCTAGTTTACTACTTGAAAACTGAAGTAAAAATGCAGTTATGCTGCAATAATTTTTCAATCCTCAATATTCCAGGGTTTACGCTCACTTTTGCTCTCTGCACTACTGGAATATGTCATGACAAAATCTGATCTCAGATTGTGCCACCTAGAGGATGAGACAAAATGACTAGTTAGATCCTTTGAGGTACATCAAAAGAATCTCACGGTCGTGTAATGGTAAAATTGACTGGCTTTGAAGTCGAGAGCGCTCATCTATAACCTTTAAAAGATGGTATCAGCCTAGTGATTGGTCAGTTTCTTTCACCTGAAACCAATCATATATCTTACTGTGTGCCTTCGATTTTATCCTGACATATTCAACGGGTGCAGAGAGCAAAGGTAGAGCTTAACACCTGGAATATTGAAAAATGATTGCAGCAATATCTTAGTTTTACATTAGATTTCAACTTATAAACTAGAAAAACAAGAAAACGAAGTCTGTAATATACAGTACACTAACAAAAGAACAAAATAAAACAACTTGGGAACATTTAAGATTTATATTTTATTGATACGAGGAATATAATTATATATAACACAAGACAAAATAAACAGGTAGCTAAAAATCAATTTTAACTTGAAATCATAACAAAACAATATTTATTTATTCATGACATGATTATATATATTATGATATAAATAATAATTATAATACCAATTTAATTTACCGACATTACACAATAAGAATCTTTGGGAAAAACATGAATGTTTAAAACTGATAACCTGAATGCATTGTCATGTCTTGTAAACTTGATTGTATTAAATTCCCACAATGATAAACATGGGGAAATATTGAAATTATACGAGCAAGAAGCATATTTTATTTGATATTTGAACTCATTCACTCCTACATATTTCAACTAGACTTGCCCAGACTTTGAATTGGTAAGGTTCATATGTAACTTTAGGGGTGAATGGGTTAAATTTGGTAGGAACAAATCATAATTTCTAAACTTGGAATAGACGTATTTTGATTCCAATCAAAATAACTTGACATTCATTTTGGTGTTAACATAATTAAACACACTATATAGACATCAATTTTACAATAAAATTTAAATGCACCAAATAAATAAAAACAATATTAAAATGAAACAAATACAAAATGAATAAAAAAACAGAGAAAATATTACAGTAAAATACTGTATTCGTAAAGAATAAATATGAAGTATGTAAAGCTTGCATACTTGATTGAAATAGACAAGAGTAAATGTAATTTCACAATTCTTTGGTCATGCAATCATTGACTTCCACTCAACAATACTTCATCAAATTAGAAATAAATATGATTTTAATCAGAAAGGCCTGATATTTGTTCTATTTTGACAATTCTTTGTTATAACACACTATTGAATCCCTAAACAAGATTTTAATCAGACTCGTACTTCTTTTCTATTTTCACAAATATTTGTTCACACATGCTTTCTAATCCCACTCAGTATCACTGATTAAAAAGTAAAAAAAGAATTTTATTCAAATAGGCCTAATTAACGTTTAAAGAAATTGAACATGCTATGGTTTTAGTTTAGTAAGTTTGTTTTATAACCCTCCCCCCCCCACCTCCTCCAAAAGAAAATTAAAAAAAATGCCTCACCTTAACATTTTGTTTTGCAGAAATTGAAGCTAACAAATTCAATTTTATTTACTTTGTTTAAAACTGTCAGTCATACATGAAATATGGATAGCACTATATTGGTCTATGGACTGGCATAGTTTTTAGTTTCTGCCAAGCCTTGGAATGGACAAAATATTTCAATGTGTACATTGACATTTAAAAATAATACTTGAAAATGTTGCATGGGAATTGGGGATGTGAATGTGTGCGACTTTCTTACGTTTGTGACCTTTCTATCCACACCAACAATATTTTTTTCTGGAGCCCACTATATAAATAGTAACGATTATTTTACATCCCCCCCACCCCCTCACATTTATTATACATAAGTGTCCCCTCCTCCTCCTCCTCCTCCTCCTCATATATTCATATCTGAATAGCCCTAATGTAAAAAACTAGTAAATGAAAAGGTGCCTGACCTTATATTTTGCTCAAGAAAAATAAACTTCCTTGATGGAACACATTTTTCATTCAACTCCCTGAAAATAAAGACATAGGTATATCATTTTTCTAAAAAACACAAAAAAAGGAGATGAATAAGACATTTTATGGTAACTGGCAAGAAATTGACCACCACTAAAACTCATTCAGTGACCACAACAAGATCCACTTATTGTGTCGTACATAAATTTAGATTCAGTTCTCATCTTAAAGATAATGGCCCATCGGAAAATTACTTAAATTAAAAACAGGGTATTGATATTACGGCTTCCTGTTCCACTGCACTGAGGTTTTACTTATATACAGTAATCTCCCTTTAACCTTCCTTTTGATACAACTGTAGCATAGGTAGGCCAGGACACTTCTGTTGGCCAGGCAGCACAATCGGTTAGAGCGATAGTATAACAATCTGAAATAACCCCGGTGTTCGAACCCTGGTCCAGCCCCGCAGAATTTTTCAACATAGAAAAACTGTTGGTGATCATGTTCTTCTTAATTTCATCTTTATTTTTACTCATAAAAGTCTAGCAAGGTATGATTTTCTTTTCATTAATGATTTATCAAAGCTATAATCATGCCATAATTTTTTTTCCAACACTTAGTTATAATTTTTTGGCAGTGGTACGGGGATACTTAAATGGTTTCTCCATATTACACAGGTAGTTGATTCGTAGATATCAAGATGAGAAAAACATATCAATTTTAAAACAGTTGATTACATATGATGCTATCACAAATTTTACAATATTTAACTTTAAACCCTGTAATGAGATTCATTGAATAGAATACCACATATGTTATGAAAAACCTAGATATGTCTCCCACAGAAATAATTGAAACATTTTTTCAATTTCCTGAAAATTATCCACCTATTTTATAGTTGGTAATTTTCACAGGCATAAATAATCACATGTATTTTGATTGAAATATTTTTTGTGTATGTGTATCTGAAGTTTTAGAGATCTTAAAAGTTGATCGCCAATGTCATTTCTATAGCACTTTCATTTTTCTAATCAAAAAGGTTTTTGTGGCACTAAAATAGTCCATATTTTATAATGCCTAAATGCCTTAATGAAACACTTCATCTGATTGTGGGCTGACCAAATAGGCAAGCAGAGCTGAAAATGTACCGTTTCAACAATCATAATACAGTCAAACTTCCATTAATCAGACAATGAAAATTCAAATTTCTCAATGTGTCGAACTTACGACAAAGTCCATATTTTTTATCCTTAACTCATTCACCCCTGAAGACGCATTTGAACTCTTCCAATTCAAAGGTTGGAATAGTTCATTATGCAATTTCAGGGGTGAATGAGTTAATAACACTACTTACATTCTATTTATGAATTGAACATTTATTAGTTGAATTTGTCACTTTTTCGAAGTTTAATAAAGATTGGTTGGTTTAGAAAACATTGAAAATTACAATTTATAGATTGACGTGAATAAAATACCTATACATAAAAAACGGCACCTTCGATTTTCAACATTCTTGAGTCAGAGTCCCTATAATTCAATTTTTTCTCTATGATCCCGCAAAGTTCAAAATTAACATGTAAATGTGTAAATATGATGCACAAAAGTTTGTTACTTACGATGAATTCTAAGCCTAACTGCTTCTTTCTCCTGTGTACAAAATTTTAAAACACTGCCGAAAATGTATATGCGTGTGAATCAAGCTAGCTTTATGTAGAAATACTGTAGACAAGTGGTAGCTAGCTGTAGAGTTATAGCAAGGCACATCTTGACTTCTCGGTCTACATGTACCAAATTCTCCAGAGATCAGCTGCCTTTGTCCCATTCTGTGTGTCATATTTACACGTTTAACCAGATAAAAAAGTTGTTCCAACATAAATAGAAGTGGTTCTGGTTACCGAAAAAACCTTGTGAGTGTAAGCCTTATGGTTCTGTAGAGGATGTTTAATGGAAAAGGTTCACAAGGGATGCTGCATCATTTGATTAGCTCACAGGTATTTATGACAGGAGAGCTAAATATAATGTTGGTGAAGAAGAATAAACTTTTGAGCAATTTCAAAATCATGACTAGAAATATCTCTTTCAACATGACACTTATTTCTTTAAGGAGTAGCTGCTTAAAGTGTTTTTTTCGCCCCAATTAAAACAAAGAAAGCATAATAAATAATCCAAATCTCCTTGTGTGCAAATTGATCTGTTAAATAGCATATACCTTGCCTTTTAGCTTGAGCAATAAGTCGCTATATCAACACCAAACATTTACTTTAACAAGGAAATTTTTTGCCCTGTCAAACTTTCACCCTTCGTCCATAAAATCAAATTTGGCCCTTCACATTTAATTACTATGTATATTATGTTGTGTACTTATATTTGCTGTAATGATAAATTTGCCCTAAGGACGGGGGCAAACAAATTATTAAACTGCAGCGAAAACTTTCCGGTATACAGTATTTTGATTACAGTAAAAAAGGTGACTTTGACACTGACACCCTGAAACTGGAATTTGTTTAAGGTACTCTCATACTTCACTTATATAAGGAGTTTGATCAAACTTTGTTTTGTGATAAAATCTCTGGAGAGATAACAAATATTTTACATATATAGAAACGATGACCTTGACTGTGACCTTGACATCTTAGAACACAACAACTTTTCCTACTTGACCAATATATGAAGTCAGATTAAAATCTGTCATTGAAGTCAATAGAGCAAACATACATGGTATGTACAAATTATGTATGGACAATACACATACATATGGACTAAATGCTATACCCCCACGACATATATGACATCCCGATGCGAGGAAAAAGTTAGCCCTGAAACTATCCTATAATTTTTTTGATCGTTTCTAACATGGCTAAAGATGTATATGCAACGATTCCTCCCTCGTTACACCACTGCTTTGCCCCACAGGACCCCGGTTGGTCAGACTTATTGTATCTAATCTGCAGGTCTCTGACAAGAGTATCGGAACCCTGTAGATCTTTGTCCTGTAGACTCTTGAAGCTGATCAAGCCACCACCTTGCGACAAAAGTATTGCATGAGGTCCACAAGCATCCCACTTGTACGTACTACTCTTGGACAGGATGTAAGAGTCTGCAAGACCCTGAATTGCACAGAGAAGTTTGTATCCAGCACCTGCGGCATAATGAAGGGAACAATCGTCTATGAAGGATTTCTGGATGTCTTGACTTTCACTAGTACTCATAAGAATGACAGGTTTATCTCTTGGCTTATCCATTGGTGCTTTCGTAAGGGAGTTAACTCTTGTGTCACCAACACAAACACCCCATATGGTTTCACCAATCCACCTAAAAAGGAAGAAAAAAGAAATGCATTAATCTCATAATCTTCTTTTTTACATACAGATAAATATTTCTTCTGTGCTTGAACTAGTCATCCTTTATAACACAGCCGAAATCTGCCTGATAAATATTTGTTGTACATGTATATCAAAAGAAACCCTAAAAACATATAACTTTACAGCTTAACCCTTTCACCACTGTAGACCATAATGGACTCATCCAGATCATTGCATGGCAGAGTTTATTGAAGGTACATAGGTGTAAAAGGGTTAAGGATTCCTGCCCCATTGTAGGCAAAGTACTTGATAATTTCACTCTAGTTTTTCGTACAAACATTAAATATGAATACAGATGGATGGAGAATAAACCTTAAGTCCTCTCTAGGAGGAGTATCAGTAGGAGACTGAAAAATCATTTGGCGAAAGTGAATTTATTTTTAGATGCAATATTATTATGGTAAAAATAGTACCTTTTAGACTGAGTATCATAGGTAGAAAAGGGCTGGTTTGTGACCCCTACTAAGGGTAACCCTGTATGTTTGTCATAAACCCCGACGATAACCACCACACACTGCAGGCCCTCTGACGCCATACCACTGTCATCTTTGGTCCCATGAAGACCTCCAATATACTGAGCCGTTGAGTCTACAAGTACAGTAATTTTGCAGTTAGAGAAAATAAATGGTGCTAGGGAAATTAATTTTGATACAGATGTTCCATTTATTCTGGATTGTTAAAAACTTGAGAAAAATTATCAATAAAATTTCAAAAACAATTGACAGACAATTCAAGAATGTAATGTGAGATTGGTGAAAAGGGAATTTGAGGCAGCTTGTCCTATTATCATTAAAAGAGTCCTAAAGCAGCTGGTCCTATTATCATTAAAAGAGTCCTAAAGTAACTGGTCCTATTATCATTAAAAGAGTCCTAAAGCAGCTTGTCCTATTATCATTAAAAGAGTCCTAAAGCAGCTTGTCCTAATATCATTAAAAGAGTCTTAAAGCAGCTTGTCCTATTATCATTAAAAGAGTCCTAAAGCAGCTTGTCCTATTATCATTAAAAGAGTCCTAAAACTGAAGTCCAAGTCATAATTGTCAATAAGAATATATCTTTGTCTTACAATTAAATCTAAAATTAAGTTGGGGGAAATGATCTATGTCTACCGTATATTTGTCAAATATCATTACAGGGAAGTAGTCTTCATGATAATTAGTATTGTATTTTAACACAGGGCCTCAGTTTTATGAACTTTACCTAACCTATGTTTTCCCCGAGGGAAATCAATATTTGAGCATGTTCCTTAATGCCAGTAATGCTTTCCTATGGAAAGTTTGAAGTTTAACCATGAATTTCTTTAAGAAAGAACCTGTGCTCATCCAATATGTCTGCCGTCGTTCAAAGGGGTGTATAATAATAATGACAAAATTATTTTTGACATAAAGGGCAACCTTGAAAACCAAAAAGTTCTTCTTTTGTTAAATGTTCATATTGTTGCACTGAAACAGTCTGTGTGACATCACGGCCGCTTTTGTTTATCGCGATCCAAACGAACGGTTGAACCGTTTGGAGCAGAGTATATGTTCGTTTATGAAATAAGGTCGGACCCAGTAATCTGATGCTGCTTTCATGAGAGCCATGACAAAGCCTTACAAGGTCTGCATAAACATTTTCAGGTCCGCCAGGATTTATACCCAAAAACGTTACTTTTAAAAACTGACAACCCGTATAAACAAACAGGCCCCAGGTAAAAAAGACACACAAAAGCAGAAGAACCCAATCATAACCCACAGTTTATGACTTCAAAATGGAGTACGTCTGTATACAATTGTACGTCTAGATTTGTACCTATTGGATCAATCCACACTCCTATATCATCCACATCCACTTCTAGTCCGACCAGCTTCACTAGTCCACCTACGATGTCCACAACAACAGACTCATGTGCCTCTTTTGCTAGTAAATCTGCTGCATGCTCATTTCCATCCAACACTTGATCTGTAACAAAAGTCTGGGTTATTATTTCTTTAAACAAAAACAAAAGCTTGATATGGTATCTATATTTTAAAAACACATTTTTTTTACAGTTTTCATTTGATTAGGCATAAACTTGAATTTCCTGCAGCAAGATATTCTTTGTTATCAATTTGACTTTACAAATTCCTTTGATTTGAATTGGGCAAGCAGCCAATAAAATTATAACAAAAATAAATATATAAAATATTGTTAAAAATAAAGTATATCTTAGTCTGTCAATGTATACTACGTAGCCTAGGCTAGTTGAAAAGAATTTATATAAATCAAAGATTAAAATGTGTCAAAATTCTTAGCACAATGTATGTAATCACAATGTATTGAATACATTAATTATATATATATATATATATTGCTCTAAGACAGATTTTTTTTTATAAAAGAGAATTAAAAATTTGCAGAAACCTTACTGAGGAGACCTATAGTTTGTTGTTTAGTGGCTTGGATCTCCACGGTGATAGTTTCTCCCACAGCATTAGTAAAGGTGTTGCTTTCCTCGCCATAGATACTGCTTTTAATGTCAGGAATCTGTGAACAGGTATGTTTAATTAAACTCATTTACCCTTAAAATGTCATAATAAACTATTCCAACCTTTCAATTGGAAGAGTTTAAATGTGTCTTCAGGGGTGAATGAGTTAAGGTGAATAGTATTACTGAAAAAGTGAGAAGCATGAAGGAGAGTTCCACATCAGAGCGTTTCTGTCTTTTGTGTGTAAAGAAAATAAAGTAATTTTTAAAAAGACTTTTTTCTGGCTTGGAGTTACTTCCCTTGACAATTTTTCAACTTTCATTTTGATACTGTGTATTTACATTTTATAGATAGTAATACTGGCATGGTGAAGTGTAGGATCAGCAGTCAATAGGTCTTAGTTCAATCCTGTAATGTCTGTTTTTGGTAATTTATTTATTCCCTACCCTAAAGAAATACTCAAATTACAAAAAGAAAAGTATTTCTTACCTCCAGGTAATGAACATTAAGAGACATTTCAAGACTTCCATTGGAAACTTAGTTAAATTTATTAGTTAATGTAAGCAGTAAAATTTTATTTATTCAAAACAATGACTTGAAAATACTGAGATATGTATCATTTTATTGATTGGATGGATATATATGTTTCTTATTTGACACTGTGAAATAATATGTCACATTGACAAGATAGATTATTATATTTATAATTATATTTGCATAAATTACCGTGGAGTACATGACATAGCATGGTGTATGACATACAAAATATACATACACAATTTTTTTTTATTACCTTTTGATTGGTTTAGTACACAAACTACAGTAGCAAGTGCATTACCAGTATATGTACTTTAATTGTACATGTACATTGTATTACTGTGTTTGATCAAAAACATAAGCATGATTTCACAATAGCAACAAATTTAGGTTTCTTTTCATGTGAAATATTAAGAAAAAAATCTTTTTTAAAATAATTATAATACAAATGTACAATTTTGTTTTTTGAATTTATGAAATAAATGTTTACAGACCTCAGTTTCAAAACATATTCTTCAAAGAATTTGTTTGATTTATGTTTTTCCCATCGGGGAGCATTACTGAGTTTAATTAAATTCCTTATCTCCAATTGTGTTTTTCTTAAAAAAACACACCAAAACCCCTAAAATTAAGTACTTCCCGTAAGGTAAGGAACATACATTAACCAAGGAAGTGAATTGGTGATACATTAATGAGTTGGTTCATGATGATATAATTACATATGCATATATATATATATGTATAAAGCATTTGGTTTTCCTTTTTTCTGTATAGCCATGAGTTTCTGTCAAACCAAAACACTAGGAAGTAATGAAAAGTACCTGCTCTGTTAGGTCATGTCTGACAATCTCTTGAACCAATACATCGGCAAGAGTCTTGAAGTCTTGGACAAATCGCTGGTTTTTGGAATCACCTGTTTTTTCTTCCACCAGAAGATTTAATAAATCAGCGTCTGATCTGATAATCCTGGCTACATTTGCTCCTTTTTCTGCTGTGTTTACCAGTAGCTTCAGCAACTCAGCCACGCCCACTTTCATCTTTCTGTGGAGTTTTTTTACAACCATCAAATTAAACAGTTTCTTGGCGTTCAAAGATACAATGTACCAATAAATAATTATCTTTTAAAGAATCAGATTGAAAGGTTCCCTAATGAGTAATGGTTGGTTATTATGTTTATTTAACTCGAGTTAGTTAATTTTCAAATTGTATAAAGACAGGAGGTTTACCTAGTAGCTATAGGGATTTATATATATACAAGTATCATTTTGTTACACATTAATGAACAAATAATGTACTGTGTATACAATGACCAATTGATATTAGCCATACTTTTTTAATTTGTACACATAAGGTAAGATTTTCTATAGGGTTTTATGACCATTTTCATATATGTCCTGCCCCATGTCAGACATATGGCACAGACAGAGAATATACCTATAAATAAGGGGCCATAACTCTGCATGCAAACAGCTCAAGGTGGTGTGCCAAAGTTTAACATTACATCGGGTAAAATTTACCAGACCATCAGCTTATAATTATTGCCTGTAGACTATTGGTGTTTATATATAAACACTGAACCTGCTCGACAAATAGTCGGTTATAATCACAGGAGCTTGTTTCGATCAATAGATAATAGTAAAAATGTTGATGATATTTTGTCATACTGCAAAGAAAAATGTTGCACGGTGATGTGTCGAATTGCCAAGGTACCTGAAGCTATGTTAGTATCCTTGCCGGGGTACATAAGAGCATGCGCGCCTGTTGTAAGGGAGATAACTTGAAGACAATATGGCGAAACGGTTTGCAAGCCACACGGAGAGTAAAATTGAGACAAAACAGGCTACACTTATACCTACAAACACAAAGAGAAATAACAATTCAGCAAAACCATATTGTTGACTTATTATAATTTAAAAATTTATTAAATTGTTGGAATAATACAAATTTTTTTTTTCTTCTGTTTTCCCCGTACTACCGCCCTACACAGTATCTGTTTTCTGGCAAACACGAGTCCCAACCTATAAATGGCTTTGCAGTATGACAAATTCGTTATACAGGTCTTTGGCAGGGTACATGGTCTCATGTTCGCTGACAGGGTACATGGTCTCATGTTCGCTGTCAGGGTACATGAAGTCCTGTCAGCGAACATGAGACCATGGACCCTGCCAAAGACATGTATGACTAATAGTATTGTACACTTCTTGTATGACAAGATAATTAAGTGTAGGTTGTTGTCAATCATATGATAAAATATCATAAACCTTTTTTTTTTACTTATTGTTATATATATTGATAGAAGCGAGCTCCTATTTCATAATCAACAAGAGTATGTGCACGTATTTTGGGATTTGTTTTTAAAATGTCAATCTAATTTAGTTATTTATCCAACATTTTCAAATCCATGTGTGTATTTTTTTTTATCTTTTCTACTAATTGAATATAAATTCTTTATTACAGGTGCTTTCCAACATAATATGTGAAGTTTTTCTCTAGAAAGATGGATCGTGTGTACGTACATCATTCTATATAACACTATACTGATGCCCCTCCCAACCCCATTTCTTTCGAACCTGGAGCAGAGTGGTATATATCAGGTCCAGTACACTCTGCCGATTGAGCTATATAGCTGTAAAGACCTATAATAGCTCTATTGACCTATCTGAAATAAGTATTTTGAGCTATTTTCATGTGATTTTCTTTTTTAAGGAAAATGAAACAAAGTCGCTTTTAAAAGAAGATTTTATTATAAGGTTGATAACAAAAGACATTAAATATAAATATTCTTTTTAAAAAATAATGATGTAAAAATTTGGAAATTTTCCATTTATGAAAAATGAAACTAATTACATCTAAATGTATGCTTTTTGTAGTCAACATTACCATAAATCTTATTGTTTATGCGACTTTGCTTTAATTTAATGAAAATTGAAATCTTAGAAAATATAATTTAAAGGTGAATATAGCTATATAGCTCAATCAGCAGAGTATACTGAACCTGTATATTACATACATCTCTACCTGGAGGAATAAATCACAGGCGCTTGTATCTGGTATTTATAACCTGAGCTAAAATCCAAAATCCACTACTTACATATTTAAATCAACTGGATTTAAGCTCAGGTGATAAATACCAGATACAAGCGCCTGTGAATAAATGTATCAACCCACAAGCTGTGATCGACTACTGAAGACTGGTAACGGGTTGTTTCGCCCTAAATCCTGTTCGCGCTGAGGGTTGTTTTGCCCTAAATTCTGTTCGCCCTAGGATGTTTCGCCATCAATATTTTTGTTTTAAATGTATACGTTAATATAATAATTAAAGGTAGGGCACGTTGAAGCAGAGTCGGCTTTTCACAGCTGCCGTTTGTAACACTCGCTTAAAAACAAGACAAACAATTATGAAATTGATTTTAATGATATGGAAGACTAAGAAGACTTAATTTGTGACTTAAAACTACTAAAATTGAAAGAAAATACCAAACAATGTTTCGCCCTAATATTTTTGTTTTAGTGCGAAACAACCTAGGGCGAACGGGATTTAGGGCGAAACAACCTGGAACCGTAGTACTCAGATCACAGGAGTCTGACGTTTAATCAATATAAGTATAACAGTCTATACATAAAAAATACCCCGTATACCATAAAAAAAATACCTGGTGGTTTTTTTTAGTATACGGGGTATTTTTTTTTATATCGTCTGTGCTCAGATCGACCAAAACAATGTTACATGGATCCCGAATAAACAGTAATAACCATTCAAATATGCTTACAGGTGAATACGAAAACTGCTTGTTCAATAGTCAACAAACACATGATGCGTATTTAGCAAGCAAATTGAGAAATAACGTATAATATTTATGAAAACAGTGAGTATTGTAGGTTTGCAATGAGGAAGGTTATTTACCTGCAGCACCGGTGTGTGTACTACGTCATGAGTTTTGTTGAGTCCACAATGCATTTCGGCATATTTCTGTAATACTCGGTAGCAAAATAATACCATCAAAATCCACTATTTTTAACGGCTTTAAGAAAACATCAAGCCTAAAAACAGTCACGATCGAATAATTAAATTATCAAACTTTGTGAATCTCATAACATTTTATATCAGAATAATCTTCTCTACGTATTATCGAAGAGTTTTCTTGACCAGCTGACTTGTTACCAAGTGGTGCAATACACAGGTCATACCACAGCGTTTGGAGAACAGCTGACGATGATTCCGTCCAAAGAAGTTACGATTTGAGTAAGGAACAAGAAATATTCATAAATCATCTCAACAATGGACTAAAAGTGAGTTATTTTAATGTAAAATTGCCAAAATGTGTTGTGTAAAGTGACATCTAGTGAGAATTACATTGCTACGTGGATAAATATGAGGAGATAACTCTAAGAGAACAACATGTGTGCGTAACCGGTTTCAACATAATGCCAAGGAAACCTTCGAATCAGTCCCAATCGTTTTTTGATGAATTTGATGCAAGATCATATCGACATTTAGTGCAGAGAGGCCAAGACATTCCGGGACATCATGCTCCATCCCAACCGTCACAAATGCAACAATCTTCAGGTTCGAGTTCCGGCAAGAAGCGGAAGAAACAAAAGCAGAAATCCCATAAAAAATCGAAAGAAAAGAGTGAAAGATATTCACAGGAAAATGTACGTATGCCCTCGGAATCGAAAAATAAATCTATTGTAGCATACGATGATATAAGTTCAGACTCTGACATTTCCAACAATGGACCAGCTTCGCCTGTAAATCGTGGTCATAGTAATAATAACAGGGAATCGTCGAAGAGATCTATGTCTCCCGGGTCTCGCATAAGGGGATACCCTCCGGACAGGAGCCTGAGTATCTCTCCAAATAACATACGTGAACCACCTAGTCCACAACATCCGCCCGTGAGAAATGTTAGCAGGAAACACCAAAAGAAACGACCATTGTCACCACAAGAACTCCCAGTGCCAAAGGATCATCCAAAAAACTATTCTGGTGGCAACAGTGTTCCTCCACCAAAGGCATATAATATGCCCCCAAAAGCTTACAATCCACCAAAGGCCTATGCTGATCCACCACGGGCTTACAGTGGATCATTTAATAGAGACCATAGTCCTACAGAAAGTCCAAGGAAACGTTACAGATCTCGCTCACCAAGTCCGTCGTATATGGCCCGGAAAAAACCCAGGTAATGATCATCCCATGTTATTTTGTGTGCTGTCCCATACTTTTTCTACCTTGGAACAAAGATATAACAACAGGGTGTCCTTTGCCTGATGCCTTTAGCTCGTGGATTTATCAGGTTGAGAACTAGCTGGGATATAAACATAGCTTCTGTCAGACAAAACATTTTTTATATATATATATTGCATCGTCTGCTACGAAGCAGTTTTCTGCCAACTAATGAAGCAAAATCAAAAGTGTCCAATCTGTTAGATAATATACAATTATGGACTTTTGTGCTGGTGAATATGATGATGTGATATGAACCTGAAAGAGTGATATTGACCGAGGCGAAGCCGACGTCAATATCACTCTTTCAGGTTCATATTGCATCATATTTACCAGCACAAAAGCCCATAACTGTTTTATTATATGCTTCAACAATAAAATAAAACAAAACAAAACCAAAGGTTCTGATTTTTGTACGCGAGCATCCATGTAAAATTTAGCCAGGATTGAATACAACAGTTCATCATTGTAGCTTTCGAAGGCATCGTCTAGATTATTTTTCTTAAGATAAGCATGGAGGACATGCACTGCGTGTTCAATGGCCTTTATACGTTAACAGCATCTTTATCCTCAAATAGTTTTGATACTTTTCCTAACGGAGGAGAAACGTTCGCCAGCAGTCATCTTCTAATGTCGTCATACAGATCGCGTTCCAGTCTAACTGCGCATGCGCTACGACAGGTTCCAGGGAATTTCCATACGGGCTATATTTAGAAATCGATATTCACCGGATAACTAGTCTACATGACTTTTTGAGGACTGGTCACGTGTATAGGATCCGACCAATTTAAATGTGAGAAATGTTCATGCATATAATAACATATAATTCAGGCCTCATATGAATAATAAAATCAAAATATTGCATAATTGTTGAAATAACAAATCGTTACTAATAGAAAAACCTCTTGAACGAAATTAGCCAAGGCCATCTTAGGGGAAATAAAAAATAGAAACAACCCCACGACAGATCACACCAATATAGTACCGTATTTTACCGCAAATAAGTCCCCTCTCACAAATAAGCCCCCTCCCCACTTTTGCAAATGTCCTGGGAACAGGGTGGGTGCCTGCAATGAAGTCCCAAATTGTGTCTCCATCTCAAAAACACATAAAGAATTATGTATTCATGAGTGAATAAAAGATGAATATTATAACAAGTGATTATTGAATATGATGTAAACATAACAAAATATCAAGATATCTAGATGGCTTAACTAAAAACAAAACATCGTTCTGTTGCTGAAAGAACACCATGCTTTTATTTTTTAACTGGTTGTGTATTTTGCAGATTTCAATGTAAAACGAAACCTGGTGCTTGTACGTATTAAATCCATTATATCTATAGTCTGTACTGAAGTAGCAAATTATGAATACATTGTAAAAAACATTTATGAGTTATTACAGAGTGGTAAAATATTTTTCAAATTGACCTTTTTTTTCTATCCAATCTTTCTGTCAACATCAGTTCGTTCATATTGCCATTCTGAAATTTGTATGAACCATTTGTGTCAACAAAGCATGGCTTCCTGGACCAAATACATCGTTTTTTGGAAGACTTTTATCCATAAAACATGTCTCTTGCTCATAATGTTTGCAGCCTGCTTACAGATAAGTTGTTGTGTTGTTTTTGTATGATTAAGACAATGGTTTTGTGTTAATTCAGCTTTTGTATACTCAAATGTCTTCGGTGATTGGACTAGCTATAGAACGGTATATATAGTCAAATCATGTGATGGCACTAGCCAAACACCAGAGTGCCTGGTCATCGTGCTATTATTTTTTTTACACCTCTGAATGTTGGTATTGTGTCTTAAAAAGTACTGATTGACTTATCAATAACAATTCATAAAAAATGTTTGATAAAATTGAATTATCGAGACCAATTGATGATAGAAAATAAGTTTAGAAAAACAACAGCACCATCAACTAATCAATTTTTGGTGACTTATTATATTCTGTCTGTTAGTTTAGTTGTTATATTTACAACATGGACAACTACAGTTTACAAGTACATGATATTTAATTTGATCATAGATCAAACCATAGGTATATATCCAAGACTGTGGTCAATAGTGAACAAGGGGGTTGCTCGCAATTACCACCCCCCTCCGGATCCCTACTTTTGGTCTATGTTTTTATGTCATGGTGCGGCGTCTGTCAACTTTTCCTTTGAACAACTTCTTCTGAAGAACGGACAGGCCTAGAGTCATGATATTTGGCTGAAAGCTTTGTTGGAAGGAGCCTGACAAATTTTGAGAACGAAAATGACCTTGACCTACTTTCAAGGTCAAAGCGGTCAACTATGTCAAACGTTAAAAACAAGTTCTTGTGAAGAACTAAAAGAAATATAATCTTCCTATTTGGCTGGCAGCTTCCTGGGATGCTGGGATGTTTGAGCCTAACAAAGTTTGATAAAGAAAATGACCTAGACTTACTTTCAAGGTCACAGGGGTCAAATGTGTCAAACACTTCAAACGACTTCTTCTGAAGAACTGAAAGGTATATAGAATCTTTATATTTGGCTTGTGGCTTCCTGGGATAGAGCCTGGCAAAGTTTGAGAACGAAAATAACCTTGACCTACTTTCAAGGTAACAGGAGTCAGATATGTCTAATGCTTAAAAAGACTTCTTCTGAAGAACTGAAAGGTATAGAAGCTAAATATTTGGCTGGTAACTTCCTGGAAAGGAGCCCAACAAAGTTTGAGAATGAAAATGACTTTGACCTTCTTTCAAGGTCACAGGGGTCAAATATGTCAAAATTATCAAATGACTTCTGAAGAACTTAAAGGTATAGAATCTTCATATTTGGCTGATGGCTTCCTGGTTCATTTGAATGACCTTGACCTGACCCACTTTCATTGTCACCTAAAGTAAAATATGTATGAACATAATCTCAATAAACAAAATGTCTAGGGTGGTGATATTTTGCAAGTTGCATGCTGAGATGAAGGACCATAAAGTTTGTTCAACCTAATTACCTTGTTCGACTTTCAAGGTGACACAGGTCAAATGTGTTTAAATCTTTTAACGTGTTCTTTTGAATGACATAGTTGTAAATACTGATATTTTGCCTGAAGCTTTATCACTTTTAAAGTTACAAGTGTGAGATTAAATCCAGGTAAGCGATGCAGGCCCATTGGGCCTCTTGTTTCACTAGGAGTGGGGGCTTATTTGCGGTAAAATATGGTATTACTACTGATGCTGTCATGTTTACTTCAATTTCAAAATTGGGTCATGACACCCTATATATTTGTATATATATATCTCCGACCTATTTCGGAAGAGAGAGAGGAGTTTCCAAAATGGTGGTCAATTCAGATTTTGATTGCCCTTGCTACATTAACTTAATAATTTACATTTTAGGTGGAGTTTAACTTCAAGTTAACTTTTATATGAAATCAACAGAAAGAATTCATATTACAAACCTACAGAGTATGGACTAATGTGCTGTCAATTAATTCTAAAATCGCCCTGATGTGATTCACACAGGGCTTGCTCCATTACTAATCGTGGGCGCCATGGCCGGGTATTAACCCTTAGGCTGCTACATTGATTTCTATGTAAAGGGACACCACTGCTGAATTAATTATTGAAATTTAAATTAATTTACTTGATTTTTCAAATGTGCATAACTTGGAAAATATTTGTTATGCATGTATATGTGAAAAAAGGTTGTAGGAAAATTGTTCGTTGTTGTCTCTAGTTTATATTAACATTTTCAATTCTAAAGTTGCTTCAGTATTTACCTGTACAGGTGGTAATAAAGGTAAGAATATGTGAAACTTTTAATTAATGGGATTTAAGCAAGAGAAAGATCATTTTAGAATTATTTTTGTCCGCAAATGTGATTGGCAAATGATAACAGAGATTATAAACTTCATTTTTGTCATAAGACGCTGTATATTTACACGTAGATTCTCAGGAAAAAAGGTCAGGTATTTCGTAAAGAATTGCATGTGATTTTCTACAGGTTTCAGGTCGCCATTCAATACATTTACCGTCACAGTCGGCATATAGATATATATCTTAGCTACAGTTTATGATTAAATCATCGATTAATAGTTTGAAGACATCAATCGGCTCAAAACATGTCAATGTTCAATTCCGCCTCACCTGCAGACGACATGTGCGCCTCAGTCCAACCCCAAATGGTGGGGCTGAACCCCCAAGGGGTGGGGCCTGAAAAAGTTTATTACTTGGAAATGGTTGAGATCCCCACCGTATAACCATATTTACAACTGTGGAGTATAAAGAGAAGCATGCACATTTGCTTCCAGGATAGCCTAGGGTCTGGCCCCACCCTTTGAGACATAGTCCCTGGGTCATAACTTTAAAATGGTTGAGATCCCCACCCCAAGACTATAAATTCAAATGCTGGAAAAAAAGAGATGAATGCTGTCATGATATTAATATTGATCCTGGGGTCTGGCCACAACCCTAAGGATCTAGTATTTGAGTCACGGCTTGGAAACAGTGAAGATCCCCACCCCATAACCATACATTAAATTGCTGGGCATGAAAAATCTAATACAGACATACTACAAGATATGGCATTGGGGGTCTGGTATATTCCCTTGGATCTCATTTGGAGAATATTTTGCCATGATTGCTTAGATATCCAGGTGAGCGATTCCGGCCCTTCTGGGCCTCTTGTTTCATGTGTTTCTCCATTCCTCGAAATGAAATGTTTAAATTAATTGGCTGTAGTTTAGTGGAAAACATTCAAACAATTATGAAACAAACAAAACGTCACAAAAAAACTGTATTCTTCGTTTTCAAGGAAAAAATTGCTGGTAGATACTGGCTGTCTATCCATCAATTCAGACAATTTTTCAGACTTTAAGACCAAAGAAAATAACTGAAACTCCAACTTAAACATTAAATAGAAATATATAATGGATTTACTTACTTATTGAATGATTATATGTACTAGTTAACTACAGAAGGACACGTTCTGCCTGAAAAAAACGACTCCGTTTTTATACCCCCGCAACAAAGTTGGGGGGGGTTATACTGCAATCACCCTGTCTGGATGTCTGTCATCCGCAGTAATTGTGCCGTGCAACTCCTCCTTAACTAACAGGTGGATTTCATTGAAACTTTGATGAATGATCGGTATCTTATGTAGTTGTGCACCGGCATATAATGAATATTATTTATCCTGCTAAATACGTTGAAGTATAATTCTCAAATTTACATAACTTGGCGAAAGCGGGGATATTAGTCAGCCATCCTGGCGACAGCTCTAGTTTAAACAGGAAGTTGCATTAAGTAGCTAAAAACCGGACAAATCCAGACCCGGATTTCGGTAATTAAAGAATATTCAACTGTAAAATAATTTTAATTTAAAAAGAAAGAAAGATAAATACATCCATCACTGCTATTAAATAGTAAATAATCTATTGATAATAATTGCAAATAGGAAGAGAAAAAAGACTAAAACATTTCATGAAAAATCTGTTTTCTGTCTACATGTATATATATATTTTCTGGCAAGTGGATTTCGTACGTCTACTCGCCCGGGGCTAGACCTCTGGAAATTGTTTTTGTACACCCCTGTGGTGTGTCATATATCTCAATTGGTTCTGTATTTCCAAGGTCAAGGTCATATTGAGGTCAAAGTTCAAATTCATTGTCTTGGCCATATTTTCTGATTTGCTGAAGATATCTCAATGAAATTTTAAGGGGTACAAGTATAATGGAAAGGTGGTGTGTTGCATAATACTATAGGGTTAATATGTCCAATGTCATGGTCACACCGACGTCAAAGGCCAAATCAATTTTTTTGGCCATGGTTTGACTCTTTGACTATCTGCATCAAATTTTTGTAGTATATTTTGGTGACATTTTTTGGAGCATAATCCATCCAACATAAGGGCTATAAAATTTGTTCAACTTAATAACCTTGTTCGACTTTCAAGGTCGCAGGGGCGAAATGTTATCAAATCTTTTAACAGGTTCTGTTGAATTACTTTTAATCTGATATTTTGCCTGTAGATTTATTTTAAATCACTTTTGAGGTTACAAGTGTGAGATTAATACCAGGTGAGCGATGCAGGCCCATTGGGCCTCTTGTCTTGCTCTAATGGTTTAACTACCGTAAAAGATGCATTGATGAAACATGAAATATATTTCATAAGGTGTAAACTGTACAGTGCACTTAATAACGCCAGCTTGACCTTCCCTGTAGGCTTAAAGATCAAGTGTTCATGTTGACACGGAATGCATTGAAAAACAAATATCATTGAAAAATGTACTCCCCACCAACCGACAGTGAAACCCACTTGTTTAAATGAGTGATAATGAATTCCAAGAAGATATCCTTGACAAATTTAATACTTAACAGTGAAGGTATCCTTGGCCTTGTATACCAGACCATATGTGCCCTCCCCAATGATGATAATGAATGGTTTTCTTACTGCTGATAATAACTCTTCATTTTGATAGATTATATGTTTAATAAGTTTTATACCCCAGCGTGTGGCTTCGATGAAGTCGGAGGTATATAGTTGCTGACTGTGCTTCCAGCCACAGTTTCATAAATTGGCATCAGACTTTTTACATGGGTACATCATGGCAAGAGAGTGTGTCACATTCTAAAACCACAGTTAGACCTCAATTTGAACTGGGCCAAAAGTGCTAAAAGTACTGGGTTTTGGAGCATATCTCTGCCACTGTTTCATGAAAGGGCAAATTCATATATAAATACATCAAGGGAAAGCCATTTGTCACATCCTTAAATCAAGTCACGGTGACCCTCAATTTGACCTTTGACCTTAAATTCTAAAAATAATGGTTTCTGGAGCATCTCTGCCACTGTCATGAATGGGGTATCAAACATTCAATGGTACATCATGTAAAAGTGATGTGTTTCCTCAAAGGATGAGGTCAGCATGACCTCAATTTGACCTTTTACTTTGACCTTAAGTAATAAAATATTGGTTTCCAGAGCAAATCTCTGCTGCTGTTTCTTGAAACATTGTGTACATGTATATACGTACATCATGATAAGGTGGTGATTTGCATCGTAAAATAAGGTCACTGTGACCTGAAAAAATTTGACCTTGACCACAGGTAATATAAGAAAATAGTGTAAGACAGGTTTCCAAAGCAAATCTTGGTCATTGTCAGAAATTTTGACCAGATGTATTAATTTGGGCAATATCATTCGGTTTTGATGAAACTTTGTATGTACACATTTATATTATGCAAAGGCTAAGACTTAATTTGGATTTGAGCAAAATTTATATAAGCCTAATTTGCTCTGATTGATAGATGATTTAAGCACATGTCAATTATGAGGAAACTTATATATTTCACAATTCAAAAGACTTTTCTTACAGGTGAGCAAAAATAAAATCTTTGAATTCCCAATTTCGATAATTATTACTGTAACAGAATTTCTCAAATTCTAAGGCTTCTCAAATTGTGAAAAAAAGCTGATTAATCTGAACTTCAAATTTGGTAACAAGTTTGAATTTGAGGTTTTGCGATTGTCCAATGTGGTCATGAGTGATATCAGTTGAAAATTTAGAATTCTGTATAACATGGTTTTTAGTTTAAGCAGATTTTATTGCATATAAAAACAACTTATTTATGCCTTTTCCAAATTGGATTATAAAACAATGCATGATAACCCAATAGTCTAGCTGTAAATATAATTGACAAGTTTTATGAAAGGGAGGGTAAAAACGTATGGGACAAGGAAGTAGTCCTGAGGTAGAATATTTGAGTAAATTGTTTTGGTATGATCATTTTGGTTTGGTTTAATTTTGTTTAAAAGTCCTATTAACAGCTAAGGTCATTTAAGGATGTGCCTCCATGCATGCTTGCGTGCGTGTATGCAGGAGACAGGGTATGTTGGGGTGCTTGCCTCCTTTTGATAGCGCAGATCTGATGCCGACTTTATAGTGCTATCTCATTTATTTATTTATTTCTTATTTATAATACCAAGGGCACCCAGCACAGCATTCCCGCCCGGTCACATTATACTGACAACGAGCGAACCAGTTGTTGCTATTTCCCTTAATGCTGAACGTTAAGCAGGGAATAAACATATACACATTTATAGATAATGATTTCACAATAAAATTGCAATTCCGGCCTGGCTTCTCACTTGGCACTGTTCACATACTTTCAGAAAACAAATGTCCGGGGTCATTCCTGTGTCCATCACTATAGTGTCCACACATGTCTACCTGTAGATCATTCCTCACATCACAATATACTTCCAGTCAGGCCAGAGTTGTGTTGTTTAGATATTACTATTTACTGTGAACATAGAATTTTAAATAGTTTATATTCTACAAGTTTACATAAAACACACTGAGAGAGAAAGTGTATAACACACATATATATATATATATCCAAAGAGTGTGAAACACACCTCGTGTATAGCCAAAGGTGATAAAATATTGAGGCAACGATAATAAATCAGTATCATGGCCAAAAACGAATCCTGAAGCCCTGTTTCTGTTTATTTTGTTCATTTTTGTCTGCAAAATTAAATAAAAAATATAACCTTGACATAAAAATAAACATTACCATTTGTGTAGACTCATGATCATTTAACTATTTTCTTATTTACTTTCAGTGCTCACTACAAAGACAAATACTCACGACATGACAAATATAAGAACAGGTCAAAATCGAGATCACCTAGTCCACGCAGCCGATCTCGCAGGGGTTCTTCACGGTCACGGAATCGACACCCCCGTTCAAGACATTCTCGCTCACCTCCTGAGCATAGTCCTCCAAGAGGACATTCCTATTCCTCTAGCAATAAAATAAGTCATTCCACAGTTAACTATGCCACAAGCCTTGCAGCCGAGCTCAGCAAGCATCGGCGGGCACGTGAAGCAAAGGAAGCTGCTGCGCTGGCAGCGAAGGGCAGGGAACCGAGGGAACCAAAGGAAAGGGTGATGTATCGTGATTCCCCATTGGATGGGAAAGACAATATAATAATTACTAAAGTGGAAAGTGGCCAGCGTAGTGTAAAACAAGACTATAGGCAGCAGGAGTATTTAAAGAAACAGCATGCGATTAAAGCGTCGCCAACTCCACCCCCTCCCCCGCCAGGTCTGCCTCCTCAACGTAAAAACAGAGTTATAGCGCAAATGGAGGACAAGATTGTTGTGAAAGTTGATAATGCCAAACGGGAAATTATTGACCTTGATAGTATAAATGATCGTTTAGACCATGATCATAATCATGATCATGGATTCAATCGTGATGATCGTCGTGGGCGTGGGCCTGAACGGGACCATCGAGGAGAGGTGCTAGATCGACGTGGGGAGGTACCTGATCGCCGTGGTGATGTACCTGATCGACGTGGGGATGTACCTGATCGACGTGGCGAGGTACCTGATCGCCGTGCTGAGGTGCCTGATCGCCGAAGTGAAGTGCCTGAACGCCGAGGGGAAGGGCGTGAAAGTCGAGACTCTAGTTTTGATAGACAGATTATCAATCAGTATAGTGGTCGAGGAGACAGACGTAGTGCAATAGACTTTCCCACGTTACCTCGGCTTCCTCTACCTCAGGTATCCCCAGAAGAGGAGTTTGACAGTGATAGCCCATACAGGTAAGTTGTCAGTGATTAAGGATATGCTACTACCCCTCTATAACTAGCATCTGCTACAAACTACAGGGTCTGAGAATTAAGATACAGTGAAAGGACATACTGTTATGTTCAGAATTTGAGATCAACACTTGGAAAAAATGTCACTCTCATTAATGGTTAATGTAGGAAAAAATGTCACTCTCATTAATGGTTAATGTAGGAAAAAATGTCACTCTCATTAATGGTTAATTTAGAAAGGGTGGCAGGCAGATTATAAGACTCTTTGTTAATTCAACAACAAAATTAAATACTGTAGGACTCGGGTGACCGTTAAGGCCCATGAGCCTCTTGTTGTATAATGGAACTACTGTTTATGCATGTACACTTACATTAATTGGTTTGGGTTGACAGGTCTACAATAGTGTGCCCTGGATTATTTTGCATAAGTCTGACACCCGTCGTGAAATCTTACTTTTAGATAACAGTTTCCATAAAAATGGGTTTTCTGACAACTTAAAATGTGTTGCCTGCTCTGACTTGCAGTGATAGTGCACCAGCCAACTTGCCAAAGGAGGAGGTCTACCCTCGACAGAGGAGAATTACAGACCTCCCAATGCCTCCCATGTTGGATGAGCCGGATATGGACTACGAAGTAGAACATGAACCAGAACCTGATGTAAAACGTGAAGCCCCTAGCTCTGGCAAGTTCAAACGACCAAAGTAAGTAGAAAATATTATAAAAATAGTATATATTATAGCAATCATTTGTCTTGTCTTTTTACATTTATTGTCATGATGACAATCGTGTGTAGCAATAGCACATGAATACTATGCAAAATCATAAATCAATGATGGAGGGTCAAGATTTAAGAACTTTGCCAGTCACACTACTTAAAAAGGTTTTTGCTAAATGTTTAAATTTGCCGAAGATCTGTTATTATTGAATGTGACTTTCAGGGATACCTGTACTTAGCATTTGTCATCTTGGGTAGAATGTGGCAAAGCAATGTCAGATTTGTAAAGATTATCCATAACTTAAAGGATAATCGACTGAACCATAGTTTTTAAATGCAGGTTTTACTTTTCATTTACAGACTTTGTCTTCAAAGAAGAAACGATGAACGATCAAAGGGTGACTGGGGAGAGCGTTGTGTGGACCTATTTAAAACTATAGAGATCATTGGGGAGGGCACATATGGTCTGGTATACAAGGCCAGGGATACCTTCACTGGTAAGTATTAAATTTGTCAAAGATTTCTTCTTTGAATTCAAATTAAGAAGAACAAGGTAGGATTAATGGATGGTTTTGGTCAGAAGTTTTCTCAAAGTTTTGAAACATATCCTTGAAGATATTGACAGAAAATCTATCGCTCGCAACAAGAAAATTGTCTTCAAAATGTTGAAAAAGAATGCTCAGATCTGACATTTGAATTATTTGTAGTTATGCATTCTGTCTGTCTGTCTGTCAGTCAGCCAGTCAGTCCATCAGTAGATCACCTAGAGATATCCCTCAACTTTGCCAAATCTATTATGCGAGCTCCTTTTGGGATGGCAGGATGTTGCATACTGAAATTGGGTCTTGTACCCAGCTATTTGGCGAAATGTTCATCTACTTATACTGATGTTGATTATCATACAGTTGATTCAAAAGTGCCTGAGCATGGGCTGCATTTGATAGTCATTTGGCAGTAAGTTCTAAGTATATGTAGATCAGTAAAATCAGCTACAATATCATTGTCTTCTGTGAAGAAACTTGGGATTTGATAAATTTGGAGTTTAACATATAATGGTTTTGTGTTTCAGATGAACTTGTGGCTCTGAAGAAGGTCCGTCTAGAGAATGAGAAGGAAGGGTTCCCCATAACCGCAGTCAGGGAGATCAAGATCCTGCGACAGCTGAACCACCCAAACATTGTCAACCTGAAGGAAATAGTCACAGACAAGCAGGATGCTCTAGATTTCAAAAAGGATAAAGGTTAGTCACTGGATTAATGATTGAGATTCTTTAACCCTTTCACCACTGTAGACCATAATGGACTCATGCAGATCAATGCATGGCAGAGTCTACTAAAGTTACATAGGGGTGAAAGGGTTAAGTTGAATGTAAAGCAGGCAATTATGGAATTAAGGTATCATTCTAAAAAAGTAGGGTAGTTTGTAGTTAGTTTGACTTGGCAGTATCTCATGAATTCTTGACATTGTTCCTTGTATCAAGTTTAAACAAAAAAGATACAGGTAGATATGGAAAGAATAAGATGTCTTGTGTCTTTGTCACATTTATGCTGAAGAGGCTGGTGCTGATCTGTGCTATCAAAACTTGATTGTCTCAATGCATGGTCAGGGCTTACTCCAACAATGTTAGAGGTTTTACACGGCGAAAAACATTTGACAGGCGCCGCGTAACCTCTTACTGCCCATAGCTGATTTTCCCGATGCTGACTATCACATTTTCAATGTTCGGATTAAGAAAGAGTATATCGTGTTTACATACATTTAAATGGTCAAAAGGGTCCAATAAATATTCCTTTCCATAAATCCATGATTATATGAGAAAAAATTCATGTCAAAGACATAAATAATGAGTTTTTCCTCACTTGAAGCGAAGCAGACAGCATTTGCCATGATTTTTCCGGTTAATACAAAAATGGATTACATGTAATGTTTCACAAGCGGAATACAAACAAACTCCGTATCATTTCGTTCCGTTTGAAATCCCCCCTGATATTTTGTATTAATCCAGAAGCCATGTTTTAAATGTATGTCAGAGATGTGCTACAACGACATGGACATGTATTTTGAGTGTTCTATTCCGTAATATACTATATATTTGTGTCTGTGACATATATATGAGATCTGTATTATATAAACCGTGAGTAGACATCGTTGTCATGAACTGTTAACCACTTATGTGAGTTTTTCAAGCCGACTTTGTTCCGCCCGGATTTCGGGCGGAAACTGCATCAAAGAATTAGTGCTTCGGAAATGAGAGGTCGCAGTCGGCAAAATCATATCCAATTGAAAAAAGGCCGACCAGCGGCCTCTCATGTTATGGGAGTAGGTCAGGGCTCACCCTGGACCTAAAAAATCAGTAGCCAAAGAAGTAGCCATGTTTGAATTTCAGTAGCCAATTTTTTTTAAACAGTGGCCATACTTTCTCAGCCTCCAACCGTTACGGATAGGCCCTCCATTAAAATCATTCAATATTTAATATTTTTTGAAGTGCAATACTATTCAATATGCTGTTAAATTAAGGAGTACTCTGTTAAATTAAAAAAAAATGTTATAGAACATGATGTTTATAATTTAATCCATAATGTGATATTTTTTTAATCCTTTCAGATTAAATGGCTGTAATTTTAAGAAAATATATCTAAAATTAAAATGCTGAAAATTTCCACCAGAACTTTTTTATTTATATTTCCAAAAGAGAGAAAAATCAGCCTTTATCTCGTTTTCTTGACACAGGAATTGTGAGAAAATCTAGGTTGAAAGGTTCAAATAAGATATTATTCGCCTTTAATTCCGTGCCTTCAATCAAAAAATAAAACGAATAAAATCCAAATCAAAAGTAGCCTCAGTGATGGAATATTCATAATTATTTTTCCTTTGTTTACATTCACCGTAATTCATGTTTTATGTAAAAAAAAAATATACATATTTAAAAAGATCATACATTTCAAAAGTAAATGGCAGTAGAACACATTTGAAAGGAAAAGGACGAATTTATAACGGTATTGACCAACCCTTCGAAATAAATCGGGATCACGTCGCGCAACTTGGCCATTGTCGTGCACGTGTCGTCGATTGGCACCTAATACAAGCGACCATCGGAAGTAATTCTGAACGGTTTGCTGTTCTAAAAACTGCATAACTGCGATGCTAAATAAATTTTCTCGATCACTTGAAATTCTAAAACGTCTAACCACGAAAGTACACAGTCAGATACGATATAGGGCCTATCGTTTGAAGTTATCTGAAAGGCTGAAAATCGGCACTTCCGACATGGTGTTTCAAGGCGATACTTATACTTTCTAATCAAGCATATCGGACGTATTTGTGCTTACTACGGTACTGGAAAAGGTAAATGAATACCATGTACACTAATTTAGATATATTGAACCCGTAAATTTGTTGGATGCGGTGTTTGAACGAGTTTATCAGATAGGCTTACGGCGCCGTCAAATGTACGTGTGCGAGACCACCTATGTGTGACTCACTTATCAGACTGTATTCTCAACGTCAAAGGGTCATCCAATTAACTTGACCCCACTGTCCATAATTATTGTATAAGAATTATAACACCTTTTGCCATCTGATGCTTGATAATCGACTTTACAACTTAGACAAAAGCATTAATTAACTCGCAGTCGTACAGCGCGCGCTGATCTGTGACAGCCCTAGCCTGATTATGTTTACGCAATCAGTGTCAGCCACAATACACACGTGAGCTCGAGTAGACGGATCGTTTTTTGCGACAAAGATACAGAGTTTCCCCATCTTTAAAAACTTAGTAGTCAATTTAGTAGCCACATCGAATTTTTAGTAGCCAATAAAAAATAAAAGTAGCCAATGGCTACTTTGGCTACCGACAGCGTGAGCCCTGATGGTGCAGGGTAACCTGTCAAACTTGACCCTGTCTGGTACAGAAATCTGAATGTACGGGACTTACTGATGTGCCCTAAGGTGTACAGTTCTATTTTAACTGAACCTGTTCAGTCTTAGAACTTTACTTTCTATTCAAACCAGTGATACTGGTACCAGTGCTGTTCTATTTAGACAGGTCTGACTGTATTCTAGATCTTAGAAAATAACCATGCTGACCCGCTTTATACCCGAGTAATATTATCTGGTGTATTGAATGGTCAGCTAAAGTAATTTGTCCCTATTTCACACCGCTGTTTCTCTGAGAATGAAACAACTGGTTCGGATAGAGGATACATGATATGACAAATGGAGTATTCCTTGGCAAAGAAAATTCAAACAAGGGTGTGGCCTTCTTGGAGAAAAAGGACTGTCCAAAATAGGAAATCAGGTGTTTTATTAGAAAGACTAGTCATAAGGTGTATATGAAGGTATTTTAATCTGAATTGGCCTAGAGATTTCCTGGGCCGACAGGAATACAATGCTGTATAATAAATAAAGGCACTAATTAGTTAATGATATTTATTAACATGATTACCGACCATTACTAGTTTGGGGACCTTTTTTAAAGTTTAGATATAATATTGTATATCTACAAAACCATGTGTTCCTCTTGGGATGGAATACATTATTCCTGTTTCTAATCGGGGAGTTACTTGATCTTATAATTAAGAGATTGACCAATGAAATAGCGTCAAGGGTGTTACCCACTAGTGGATAACCAAAAATGTTTATCAACTCCTAGTAGCTTTATCCAATAAGTCAGGATGGAGGAAAACCTACAGTGATGGAGGGAGAAATAAAATCAATAAGTATTCACATATTCTAGTGTTTAATGTGCAATACATGGCTTTCCTCGCATTCGGTCTTTGCATAGTTCACCTGAATTTATTCCTTTGATCTTCTGTACTTGCAGGTGCTTTCTATCTTGTGTTCGAGTATATGGACCATGACCTCATGGGACTGCTGGAGTCGGGCATGTGTAACTTCAAAGAAGAGCATATCGCGTCGTTTATGAAGCAGTTGTTGGACGGTTTGAAATATTGTCATAACAAGAACTTTTTACATAGAGATATTAAGTGTTCAAACATTCTACTCAACAACAGGTAAGTTGTCTTTGTTTTGTGTAGCTCCTCATTTGTATAAAAAGAAAGGTTTGTGACAAAAAAATACCACTTGGAACCGATGTGGAAAACCATTCAGACTAGTTTAAGTTCATCACTAAATAATTTAATTGATTCTATGTGATAGCTAGCTACATTTAATGGTTGAAAATGCAGATGGTTTTGCTTTTAATTTTTTGTGTTAAACATAAGATTCAATGAAACAGAAGGACATAGGGATCCGGACATAAAACAGAACCAAATAATTATTGGTGCTACAACATGTATGTTTTGTTAGAACAATGCCTGCTTTTACAGAGGCCAGATCAAGCTGGCTGACTGGGGATTAGCCAGGTTGTACCATGCAGATGACAAGGACAGGCTGTACACAAACAAAGTGATCACACTTTGGTACAGACCTCCAGAACTCCTCCTTGGAGAGGAAAGATACGGGCCTGCCATTGATGTGTGGAGCATAGGGTATGTATACATACCTGAAAAAGAAAGTACTATTTACTTGGGCTGCAACGATATAGCGTATCATATCACGATACTTTCTTGGGTATCGTATCAAATAATGTCGTTTACTGCATCGTGATACACTAATAGTACTTCAATTATTAATCAATTTTTATCAATTTCTAAAATGTGTTCTTATATTGTTTGATACCTTCAGTAAAGATGTGCTGTGCAGTCATTCCCGAAAGTACTAGAAATTATACATATATTTCAATAATATTTACTACTGAATTCTATGAAAAAACTCAATAAAATCATATCGTGAGGATGCAAATTGTTGCAGCCCTTTTATTTTTTAGGTTAAAAAAAGCTTTTCTCACTAGAATTTTCACCTATTTGCAAGGCATTGCTAACTCTCATCATCATCATGTCTTTGATAAAGCCCTTGTATATATAGTTGATGAAGTCGTACTATTGACTACCTGTAGTAGGCATGCTGGCCCCGCGTTATGCCCAAGTAATGTTTGTTGGGTGTGTTGAAAGGTCAGCTAAAGTAATTCTTCTCTTTTTCACACCACTGTTTCTCTGAGAATGAAACAACTGGTTCGGAAAGAGGATACATGTATTTTGAACAGCAATGTAGTTGATAACTGGATGCATTGTCGGTTTTAACATAGTTTGTCTAATCAGAAGTTTGCTGGTACGGCATTGCAGCATGGTGAAAATATTATAACATTGAAAATGGACAATTAATGAAACGCAGATAAGAATTCTCATTACAAAATGAAGTGTTTCAATACCTTCAAAAAATGTTTTTATCCCACAACTCAGTATGCCCCCTTCAATGTTATGTTTAATAGGATAAAATATGGACTTTTTTTTTACATGTTATAAATTTGAAAAATAAAGATATTGGACAATGATGTCATTGTCATGACCAAATAGTGTCTCCCTTGCACTGGTCTATACTAACCACGTTTGTCTTTGTTTTATTACAGGTGTATTCTAGGAGAACTTTTTATAAGGAAACCCATATTCCAGGCTCAGACAGAGCAGAACCAACTGGAACTAATCAGCAAGACCTGTGGCTCTCCGTGCCCGGCCGTGTGGCCGGAGGTCATCAAACTGCCACTCTTCCACACTTTCAAACCCAAAAAGCAATATCGACGGCGCCTGAGGGAGGAATTTTCATTGTAAGTCTCGAGCTGCTAATTTACAGAAAACATTTGAACTTATAGAAATTGTTGTTTTTCATTGGCTTTTAATTATAAGGCACTTTGAAAAGAATAAGTTTACCTCACTTTAACTTTTGAAAAAAAATTGATTGCTGGAAAACTCAATTGTGGATATGGTTTTCCCAGGGTAAATCGGTACAATGAGGAATCGCAGTACAGACAGCTTTGTCTCGAGTATATTTGACTTTCAGACCAAGCTTTATGTACCCCGGTAAACATCAGTAATATGATAATATTATTGGAGATGACACTTAACCATTCATTGTACATTTGCATACTTGTAACAGATAACAGTCAATACAAATGGTTGCCTTAATTTCCAATGTTTCTTTGTTATAGCAAAAAGAAATAACTTGATCCAATCAATAAATTTCTGCCCCCCCATGCATCTTTCAAAATATTATTTACTCTTTCTGCAAGATTTACTCTTTCTGCAAGATTTCCTTTTTTTCTGATTTAGCTTGTTGTAAGGACATGACATTAAAAAAATACTTTGCTATGCATTTTTACTTACACTGTGAATTTGTGTTACAGCCTGCCTAAGCATGCTCTTGACCTGATGGACCAAATGCTAGAGCTGGACCCTAGCAGGAGAGTTACGGCCGAGCAAGCCTTGGTGTGTCCTTGGCTCAGGGATATAGAATGTTGCAAAATCACTCCACCAGAGTAAGTACAGACTTTTATTACATCATTTTTTCAGTAGAATTTATCTGACAATTTGCTGAGGATGAAACTTCTATAACTTTTTGAAAATTACTTTGTATAATTTATCTGACTGCAAACAAGAAAAGACTTTATTGCATAACTGATCTATCAATGTNGGGGGGAGTCTGTTTACAGGCTTCTTTGGAAATTGAATTGGTTTTCAATAAATTTGAGACTTGATTTAGAAATAATGATTCCTTCTTTCTCATTGCAAAAAAATATTTGGAAAAACGAAAAAAAAAAGAATAAAAATCAAAATGAATTCTGTTTACAAGATTCTATGTCACAGTTTTGTCACTAAATATTTAGTGTATTCATCGCATGACGTTTTTTTCCGATGTATGGAAACAATTTGCAAATTAAACATCATGGTCATTTGTCATTTCAGCTTGCCTAAGGACCAAGATTGTCATGAAATGTGGTGCAAAAATAGAAAGAAAAGCATAAAAGAAGCAAAATTAAAAGAATTGGAGACCGGGTCAAAAAATATCACGCCACAAAAGCAAAGTATGACTCAGAGTGCCTACAAACCTGGGTCATCTACTGGGAAGGGACACACTGATACGTCAAAATCATCTTCAGCAGAAAGTGTATCAATAAAAGCTGTAACCAAGAGTTCAAACAGTTCAAATTCGTCTCATTCAGTCGCATCACACTTGGCTGGACATTCATCTGCTTCAATGTCATCGTCTTCATCATCCTCCAGAAAGAATGTTGTTCCAATTCCGGGAATAGACATAGTTGCAGACAAGAACCTTAAGGATGGTGATAGTAATTCTGATAGTCATGGGAGTCACCACAAAGTACAGACCCGTGACAGTGATGAGATTGAGGGTAGGGGAGGTAGCTCTGTTGCCACAGTGGACCAACAGAGCCAGCTCACAAAGATGGTCTCTATGCTGCAGCAGGGGCTGTCTGTTGACACGGTGGCCAAAAACATGAATATGAAGTTAGATGACCAGACCATGCAGCTCATGGACAACCTTGGCAAACAGCTCATGTTAGCAGCAAGCATGGCTAAGCATGTCACCAAGGAAAATTCAGACGAGGTAGCTGAAGAGGGTAAAGTTCCCGACCCCTTGCCAGGGCTTGGCCAGAGTGGAGGTGATCAAGCACCTCAAACGTATGCTAGTGCAGTAATGGACAGAAGCTACCCAGACTACCACCAGGCAGGGGATAGCCAGGCCATGGACCAGTATGGATATCCCATGGAAAGTGTTCAGGACCCCTACCCTGCGCCAGCTTACGGAGTCCCAGCCCAGCCACAGCTAGCTGCCATGGGAGACCAGGAGGGAAGCAGCAGTAATGCTGGAGTTAAAGCTGCCCTGGCGCAACTCCTGTCCCAGCAGGGCCTCAGGGTGGCCGTCGGAGGCAATGAACTGGGCAATAGAGGATCCGACCCCTACACCTCTCAGTCTGACGGATACTATCATTCTGACTCAAGTGATCAAAACTACGGAGTCAGAAATTTCCCAATCAGCAGCACTGCTTCAGGTGTGTCTTCTCAACATCTGCCTGATCAGGGTCTTGTAGACTCTTACAGACCACAGGGATCAAAGGTGAGAACACCTACTACGCCTAACTTCCCGTCTACAACGTCGACTGGACTGCAGAAACAGTATAGTGGTTATGGATCTGACGATTCCCGTGGTAGTACCGACACGTACAGTCAAGGAGGATATTCAATGCATGGCCAGACATCTATATCGGGGGGAGCATCGGCTAGTGCTGCATTTGGAACACTCTCGAGTCAAGGTCAGAGCCAGGCTAACACAGGAGTGACACAATCTTCCGGACCCAAGCCGCTGATGTCACTTGGTATATCTGGCTACGGTGATGGGAGACCACAGGGAGGCTTACCTAGAAGCATACTGAAGAATAAGCCAGCGACGACCCCATCACTTCTTGGACAAGGGCCTGTCAACCCAGGAGCTCCCAACTCCGGGGGACACCGAATGAATCCTGGGGGCCAAAGAGGCACATTCCCGCCTGGTAGAGGAAACTGGTAAACTGTCAAGATACAATGCATAATTATGTTCAGTTTGTTTTTCATGGCAGTTTTATTTGTTGGTAGATGTAGTGAAATGTTTAATTTATAAGAATATTTTTTCAGATGTTGAATTTGACAGAATATTTTTGCAGATGACTTTCACAGTAATGCTTGCAGAATCATTATTCAAGAATATTGAAAGGTGTTTACATTTCAGTTAATAGAAAATACCTTCTAACATGTCATAAATAATAAGGTTTTTTTTATAGATAAGTTATCCAATAGTAAGTGCTTTGATTGTAGGAATTTTTTAGAAATTTTAATTTAAGTTCTCTGCTTTATAAAAGAAATACTATTTTAGGCATCAAATGTCAAGACTTTTGCTTTTTTATTTGATAGTTAAGTAGTAGGAATCGGACACTGTATATAAGTAGATACATGCAGTCATTTTTCTTTGTGTGTAGTAGTACAATATATTAAGTTATGTATAATTCATTTATTGTTTTCTTTAATTTGCCATTTTCAATAGGAACTGCCATTAAGATTTTTTCCAACAAATTTCTAACCATCAAATCCTTGTGCTGGTAAGACTATAATTCTTGATAAAAATCATAACTTGACAATTACAATTATGCAACTTATTGAAATCTCAAATATCTTTTCATTGTGGATGCTGTCATTATCATTTTGAAACTTGCATATGGTAATGATAATATATTTTATTGTTTTGTATACATGTCTTCTATAGAACTGTGTAAAATTTGCTGTAAATATATATAATTAATCCTTTTCTCCCTTGGACCTCTAATTTTATGGATTTATGGGAGATTTTTTGGGCCGCAGACCAGAAGTCTGCAGCTTTACCAATGTCGAAGGACTATTCCGTATTCGTATTTGCATACAAATCAATGATTGTGGCGAATCTTTTTGAGAAAGGAATGCGTTGGTGATCGACAGATTTTAGAGTAACATTTTCATCAGTTTCTATGTGGATGTTTTCACTTGCCAGACTTTCTGAAGTTTGTCACCTCCGATGAGCTGTTGAGGAAACACTTTTGGGAGGTCAGAAAAATAATTTGATGGCTGCAGTGAAGATATGTCTACAGAAGCATTATTATTGCTGGTTGTCACCGCAGGTTTTTTTCTGAAAATCTGGACTTGTGAATATAAAGCGAAAGTGAAGCTTGATACTGTGTACAGTGATGAACTGTAGTACATGTCTTGTTCTGCTAAAAATTGTAAAAAATATATACACAGGATTGTATCATGTGTCCGACATGCTCAGAATGTTATATTCGTGGTATCATATTGTCTTAAAAAAAAATATGTTTTTCTTCCGTAAAATATTTAAAATAAGATAATGTTACATATTGAACATAGCACTTCATCATATTTTTCAAAAAGCACAGGTACATGTATCAATCTTTTGCGAAACTTGTTGATTAATTGAACACCTTGTGAATTTAAGCTAATGTATAGAAGGTGTACAAGAGAAGATTAATTTTAATACTATTCTTGTTTCAAATCTCAGTATTTGACTTGATGTATAATTCACATGTCACTTGATCATGCAATCTGTTACAAGTTTTAAGTTACTGATTCACATGGCATTGTACTAGAAAAAAAACTGGCATTTGAGAATGTCAGCATATGTTATGTTGTAACATTCATGAAATTTCAAGATTTTAAATTTGGTTGTATGGTGCTGTCTTTTCCATCAAAGCTATAGAATTGTTTTCTTTTCTACAATTCTTAAAAAAAAAAATGGTGAACTATTCTAAAAGTTTGAAAATTTTGTTCCTCATAACTAGGAACTTAACAATTGTATGTTTCAGGTGCAACATGTAGTATATTGGACTTGCAAGTCGTTTATACAAATCATTGTTTGTGGATATGGTGAATAAATGCTTTTCCCTTGAATTCCGGCCTTGTTGTCTTTGTAATCATGCCATATTCATCTTAATTTGTAATATGGCCCCAAACCTAGTTCAAACAAATGAAAGTAATTTTTTGTACATTAATTCACCATGATGAAGAATGTTTGATTATCTCTTTTAAGAAAAACAGTTTATTTTTGTTGAACATTTTATATTATTTCTAAATGAAAACAAATGGTGATTATCAGATGAAAAATGATTTAAACTTAAGCTGAATATGGCAATAGTTTTGACATCCGAATGTTTTCCAGAACAGTTTACATAACTTCTACAATGCATACATAACTATGAGTCTGTAGTTAGCATTAGCAACCTCATGTTATTGCACATAATAATACAATGATACATATGTACTTTGTTGTCCAATTTTATAAGTACGTGTAACATAATTGCCTTCCTCTATAACGTATATCTTAATGATGATGTACTTGTTCTTAAATTCATTTTCATGCCAATGTATTGTGTACTGGGATACGTTTGTTTTTAAAACTTGTCAAATTTTAACCAGTTTAAGGAAAAGATGTAAGATCCGTTAAGTGTAAAGGTGTCTTAATTGTTTTTAAAGCAAACCTATCGTGTTACACAGTGTTATATGTAAGAGTCTTGAACATTATTTTTGAAACCAAAATGTAATCATCGTTGCCAAATTAATTTATTGTTAAAGCTTTTTTTCTGGCTAAATTGCATTATTTTAAAAACGGATACCTATAGTACTAATCTTAAAAAATTGAATGAAAATTGACAGGTATATAACTTAAATTTCTAAGATTTTCAGGTTTTAACAATAATTGATATACCTTGTACTTAACTGGAAATACCTTTAAACTTAAATATACATGTATTTATAGGATATGTATTATGAACTTATTCCTGAATTGGCAATGATGAATATACCCTTTGTTACTTACCATGATATTTTTTTTTGTAAAAGGGTCAAGTTGTTCGCAAAGAAAATTGTTGAGGAAATTTGTTAAAAATGTATAACCATCTGCAAAAATGATAACCTGAAAAGGCAACCTCCTGGCGCATACATTCAGAGTTGCTGAAAAAATATAGTCTTGGTCATATGTGAAATCAAATTACTGGCCTACAATTGTATAATCTTAACACAACTTGAGAACAACTTTGCTGAAATTGCTCGTAAAACAGGATACATGCTCCCTTACTGTGACATGCATGCATGTGAACTTCATTCAGCAAAAAAAGTTCCACTCGAGGAAATTTGTTCAGTAATTCTAATAATGGTGAAATCAACTTTTTTACTTTGAAAATCATCAGGGTTTCCGGAATTTAAGGGAGTTTTTAAGGGGAGATAAATGTCACTTGTATAATGAATAAGGTATGATGTATCCTTAAAAAATATATTACACATTTTAATCATATGTAGATGATTGATGTTTTTGTTTTATCAGAAGTTTATTGTAATGATCAACAGATGTTTTATTTTTATTTGAACTGACATTTGCTAGGTGTTCAAAATTGGTTTGTAATCTGTGTTGCATCTCAAACATAGAAAGGTTGGTTTTGATTGTTGGTATTGTGGTATTATCCGACTTGTTTTTTAAGCATTTCGTTTTAAAAAATGATATATATAAAAAAAACTTATTTTATATATTATAATTTCTCTTTATGCAAACATCTCTGCCACAGGGGATTTGATCTACAGACAATCTATAAAGTAGAGAGCTTATCGTCCACTGCAATACTAGTACTGGCGTCACGCTTTTACAGTAAAACTTTACAGCAATATAACGGGGAAATCATTTCAGAATGTTCTAACTCCAGAAAAAGGCAAACAACATGATAGTCTTTGTTCAAATTTAACACCCTTTTAATTGGAAGATATCTATTCAGTAGAAAAGTAGTGGGATTTGCTACCTTAAAAACTTGAATTTTATCGACCTTTTACAGAACGAACGTATGAAAACAGATGAGATAAATAATTTATTTTAATTTTATCAGATGATGTTTTACTTCGTAAAATAACTTAATTTTGTGGATGCATTCTACAATTTTTGCATTACTTTTATTTTGTTTTCATTTTACAATTTAGCATTTTCTCTCTGAAAACAAAAAAGGTTGGTTTACGCAATGCATTTGATAGTCTTAATCTCTTAAAGGTAAAGGTCAATGTTGCTATTAATGAATAATAGCTTAAGTTTATTTTAATAAAAAATCCTGGATTTTTTTTAAAAATAAGGTGATAGTTTCTGAAATTAGCCTGAGAACAATGTTTTGATCATATGATATGCAATATTCCAAAGGATGAACTAAAATTACTAAATAATGATGCCAGTACCTCTAAGCTTATTTGTTGGTGATTTAAATTCTTCCTTTCACTATACCTTTTATAACACAAATATGTAAGCAGCTTGTCAAAAGCCAGCATAAACATTTATTGATTTTCTATATTTGTTAAATGAAGAAAACCTAATAAATTCAGGCTTTTACAAAAAATGATTTCATTGTGAAAAGGTTGTGTTTTTAATAAATAGATTATACCTGTTCATGTTGGGGAGTCTTTCGAAATCTAAATATTGAGCTTGCAAAATGTTTTATCACTATTATAAAAACATCTGAAAATTATAAACTCTATAAATGATGAAGATCAATTGAGAAGATTTATTTAGGGAAAACAGTTATTTGATTTCTTTTGCCCAAATCTTTGTAAAGAAAAAAATCAACAGAATATGTTTTGATTATTCAATGCAGTTTACAAATGGTGTCTGGAATGGATGGATTTTTTGTTATTCAATCTGTATTTGTTTCCTTAAAATTCAATATGAAAAAATTTGCCAAAACATTATCATTTGACATGTAAATTCTGTTGATCAAAATTGTTTGTATGCCATATTTTAATGTATCAATGTTGTAATGTTCAATTGTTTGTTGGAAAAAATGTAAATATTCAATAAAATATGAGCAAGAAGTTGGAAGAAAGAAGATCTACATTGGAAAGAAGAAGGATGAAAAAAGAAGACAGAGCAGAAGAACTTGATGCCGATATTGTGTCGCACAAGGATGTTGACTTGAACATTGGTCGAGACCTTTGGATTAAGGATTGAGTTATAATTCTGTGTCTCTGAAATTTTCTCAGGGAATAACAACTGGGTTAAAATGTGGTAAAGAATGCTGGGAATCGTCAAGAAATCTGTATCTAGTGAATGTTTGTTAATGCATTGCTAGCATTGGACAGTCTACCAGTCAGGATAAAGTAGCTTGTCGGATATTGAACTGCAGTGGACACAAGTGGATTTACAATGTGTTTTGTTGAAAATATGTTACGTTCTACAAATGGACACTACTTACTACCAGTAAGAAACACTTATCGGACATTTTATATATCCAATAACCCTTACCTTGGAATGAAAACCCTTCTTCGCACACTTACGGGACCAAGATGGCGCAGACAAGGAAATCTGGATCAAAGCTTCTCAGAAAACATGATGAAAAGCAAATGGTGTGTATATATAGGTTTGTTGCTCAAATATGAGCATCAGGTTTTTTTTAATAACAAGCACACAGTAACACATGACAAGCATACACCACTATACATAGGCAACGTAACCTTACGTAAAAAAAAAATTCTCAGGTGTCGCCCACCTTGCAGCTACAAGTTGACTTTCAAGAAAACACCAACACAAATTCTGGCTACAAGCAATCTTCGTACTGATAGAATGATTTGCCTTATGTTAGTTGGATAATGTCTAATTTGAAAAAAGTAAGTACTTGTTAAGACAGCTAAATTAAGCAAGTAACAGAGCTAAATTAAGCAAGTAACAGACCTACATATTAATATGGTTGATATATTCTGAGAAATCTCAATTATCTGTAAATTCTCGCTTGCAATGTCTATTGATCTTTTATCCATGTTACCGATGACGATAGGCTTACATGTGTACATAGATGTTGTTAAAGGTTTTAGCTTTTAAAGCAACATTTCTCTAAAACATATTTCCAATTTTGTTAAAATGAATTTAATGACAGCTTTCCACTCTAAACAGATAAATCTTGTAAAATTTCTTGAAACTAATCTGTTATTGATCAGAATCACGAAAACATTTACGACACAAATCATTTCAATATTCAATTGTTACCTCGGAAAATGTTACCTCAGAAAATGTTACCTCGGAAAATGTTACCTCATTATATCGGTAACAAATTAAAGATTTCTTGTTTTACTTTTAAAGGTATCAAAGTTTAGGGTTAAGCTGGTAAGGTTTTGTAAAGGTCATCACAATTTGGGTGTTATATTTTGAAGGTCATTACAACTTGTTGGTTAGCTTTTAAAGGTTATCACAGTTAGGGAGTTTAACTGGACTGGAAAAGGTCATTACAGTTAGGAGGTTAAACTTGTAAAGGTCATCACAGTTAGAGAGTTTAACTGGACTGGAGAAGGTCATTACAGTTCAGAGGTTAAACTTGTAAAGGTCACAATAGTTCTTGGGTTAAACTTGTAAAGGTCATCACAGTTGTTGGGTTAAGCTGGTAAAGGTCATCATAGTTAGGGGGTTAAACTTGTAAAGGTCATAATAGTTCTTGGGTTAAACTTGTAAAGGTCATCACAGTTGTTGGGTTTAGCTGGTAAAGGTCATCACAGTTAGGGGGTTAAACTTGTAAAGGTCACAATAGTTCTTGGGTTAAACTTGTAAAGGTCATCACAGTTGTTGGGTTTAGCTGGTAAAGGTCATCACAGTAAGGGGGTTACACTTTTGTAAAGGTCACAATAATTCTTGGGTTAAACTTGTAAAGGTCATCACAGTTGTTGGGTTTACCTGGTAAAGGTCATCACAGTTAGGGGGTTAAGCTTGTAAAGGTCACAATAGTTCTTGGGTAAAACTTGTAAAGGTCATCACAGTTGTTGGGTTTAGCTGGTAAAGGTCATTGCAGTTAGGGGGTTAAACTTGTAAAGGTCATAACAGTTCTTGGGTTCAGCTGGTAAAGGTCATCACATGTACAGTTAATAGGTTAAAGTGGTAAAGG